TTAAGACTCCCCGGTTCCACTGCAGGGGTATGGGTTCGATCCCTGGTCGGGGAACTAAGATCCCACATGAAAAAAAAAAATTCACATTCTCAGATCCACCCTAGACCTACTAAATCAGAATCTCTGGGGAATAGGGCCAAAGATTGTTTTTAACAAGTTCTGCTAGGTGATTCTGATTATCAGCTAGACTTGAGAACTACTGGACAAAATAATCACTAAGGTCTCTTCTGATCCTGAAATATCACTTTTCTGTATTATGTAACTCTTGTGTTTCACATTCTCAACAACTAGGATTGTAAGCTCTTTGAAAGTAGGCAGGACTGTGTCTTAGGTACTACCCTTCTTGCTGTCAACCCACTGAGATCCTTTCATGCCTAGACAATTCCAATAACCTCTTACTCTTCTAGTCCATCTGTGGTTGTATTTATCTTAAAGCAACATGTTGAACATGACATTTCTCTGTGTAAAAACTTTGGCTACAAGACAAAGTCCTAACTCTATTTTACTTTATAACTCAAGGCCTCCGTAAGCTAGCTCCAGCTTGGCTTTCAACCTTATCTTCTAGGGCTGTTGTATACAGCCATCTAAGTTGTGCGTTGTACAGCTCCTTAAATGATGTTGTGCGTGGGGTTCCCTGAAGTCGTATGGTATGGTGATTCTGATTTCTCCCACCCTTCACTCTAACCTGGTTGCTCTCCCCACAGCCTGCACTCCTTCATATAGTATAAAGCCTGTTCACGCTTACTCTTCTGCTTATTATACACCATTCACCCTGTCTAAAATGCTCTTTCCTTTTTTCTCTATCAAAGTTCTACCTATTAACATCTAAGAGTGGAGTATTAAACAGCCATTAAAAAGAATGAGGAAGACTTCTAATCACTCCTATGGAGTGAATTTGAGATATATTGTTAAGTACAAATAGCAAAGTACAGAACTGGATATGGTATTCCATCTTTTGTATAAGAAAAAGAAGAATTAAGAATTTATATGTATATATACACATTATGCTTATTTCTATAAATAGAAACATGAAAGATAATAAAACTAGTTATCTGTAGGGAATAGATAGGAAAATATTGGAGGGAAAGGGGAAGGGAGAGACACTTCTCTGAGCATTCCTTTTTTGTAACACTTTAACTTTTGAAGAATGTAAATGTTTTACATATTCAAAAATTAAATTTAAAAATAATGAAAAATAAGCTATAATTGAGTGTTAAAAAATGAACCTAAATTACAGGACATACAGAGAAAAAATAAAAATAAAATAACTTGAACGTAGCACACTGACCGTACATCCCTAGTGGGGTATACTTTAAGGACAAAAAGAATTGACCCCCAATAGACTTAAACTCAGTAGGTTTATTGTTAGTAATATTAATGTTATAATTTAAAAACTAGTTTATGAACCAAGATTTTCATTTTGAGAGAAAAGATATAGTACTAATATAAAGTAAGTTAAAAAAACCCATAATGTTGAATTTGAGTTGAAAATATCAATATAAACTCTTTTTTTTTTTTTTTAATCCCCAACTTTGCTTCTAGACCATTTCAGGAGACGATGACATATCAATAGCTATGAAGCCACCTAGTGCTCAGATCCTGATTTATAAATGCTTTTGTCCACTAAAAGGAACAAAGGCTCCAGGGAGGAATAGCTGATTCTAGGTCTGGGTCAGAGATGGTAAAAGGTGAGCTTAGACAAATCTTGTACAAAATAAAATAGAATAGAATAAAATAAAATAAAATTCCTCTCACGCAAAAAAATAAATAAAAAATAAAGCTGCTATGAACTTTCATTAAAAAAAGAAAAATCTTGTACAGGAAGTAGCCTCATCAGCCAGTAGAATTGGGGTTAAATGACACAGATGAAGGCTTGAAGGGAACCATGTTAGCCATAACTGGGACTATTTATTTATTTTATTTTATTTGGTTGTGCTGGGTCTATTTGGTTGTGGCAGGCAGGCTCCTTAGTTGTGGCATGTGGGCTCCTTAGTTTTGGCTCGCAGGCTCCTTAGTTGTGTCATGTGAGTTAGTTGCGGCATGCATGTGGGATCTAGTTCTCTGACCAGGGATCGAACCCAGGCCCCCTGCATTGGGAGCAAAGAGTCTTAACCACTGTGCCACCAGGGAAGTCCCACCTGGGACAATTTGAACCAAAAGTTGGACAATTTGAAAAAAAATGATGGTAATGGATTGTTATAATACATTAGATTAAAACAGATCTTTGAGTTCGTAATAATACTTAAAAGGAAGATAAAGGGAGAGTGAAGAAATAGTTCTACTTAACAGAAGAATGCTAGACAATAAATGAAGGAGGAATGATAAAATTAGAAAGTCATCATTTTGTAGTCCCAAATGTAATAATTGATTCAGGCAAGAATCATCAATAGATGCTAAAACCACTGGGTGAAAAGTTATTTGGAGATAGGGTATTAGATCTCTCTTTACAATGGATAGACCTATAGTCACCACTTTAACCACATGATCAAACTTATCCCCTGTAGTGGGATAGCCTGGCATTATGTGCCTCTGATGTGATGGCATTTGGAAGGACTCAACTGTCACCTATACATGTACATATTCTTGTTTAAGAAAATTAAATTTGTATCTAATCACGTGGAATCAATCAGATGGATGTTAGAACTGACCTAGACTTTAAATTTAAAAAAATTTTTATTTTTATTTTTTATTGAAGTATAGTCTGTCTACAATATTGTGTTAGTTTCAGGTGTACAGCAAAGTGATTCAATTATGTTTTTTCAGATTATTTTCCATTACAGTTATTATAAGATACTGAATATAGTTCTGTGTTATATAGTGAATCCTTGTTGCTTATCTATTTTATGTATAGTAGTTTGTATCTGTTAATCCCATACTCCTAATTTATCCTCCCCCCCCTTTCCCCTTTGATAGCCTTAAGTTTGTTTTCCATGTCTGTGAGTCTGTCTCTGTTTTGTATATACGTTCATTTGTATTATTTTTCAAATTCCACATATAAGTGGTATCATAATATTTGTCTTTAGCTTACTTAGTATGATATTCTCTAGGTCTAACCATGTTGCTGCAAATGGCAATATTTCATTCTTTTTTATGGCTGAATAATATTCCATTGTGTGTGTGTAGCTATCTACCAGTCATCTGTTGATGGTCCCTTGGGTAGTTTCCATGTCTTGGCTTTTGTAAATAGTGCTGCTGTAAACGTTTGGGTGCATGTATCTTTTTGAATTAGAGTTTTTGTCTTTTCTGAATATATGCCCAGGAGTGGATCATTTGGTAGCTCTATTTTTAGCATGGAACCTCCGTACTGCTTTCCATAGTGGCTGCACTAATTTACATTCCTACCAACAGTGTAGGAGGGTTCCCTTTTCGGACCTAGGCTTTTTTAAAAAGTCAATTTCATGTAAAACAAAACAATCCCCCCCAAATTGCGGGGGGTGGTGGTGGTGGTATAGAATATGCAAGATGAAAAGACTCAGAAAAACCAAATGTAAGGAATGAGCCTTGATTGAATTATGGATCCAAAAAAAAAGGTTCTGAAAGAAAATATGAGGCCAATTGAGTAAATTTGATTATGGGTTATATATTAGTATTATGGAATTATTCATTTTCTTAGATGTGAAAACAGTACTGTTGTCTTTTTTAAGAGAATGTTATCAGAATATGCTTGCTAAAGTAACTGGGTGAAGTGTTGTGATGTCTGTAACTTTAAAGTGATTCAGAAAAATGTGTGTGGTGGGAGAGCACAGGCTCACACACAAATGAGGCAGATAATCATTGGTAAGTCTGGCGGATATATAAGATTTTACTGATTGTAATGATTTTTTCCATTTTCCTACAGATTTGAAAAGTTTCAAAATAAAAAGTTGAGGAGAAAATCTTATCTTTACTTCAGAGCCCAGCTCAGATTTTGTCTCATATGAAGACTTCTTTTCCCAACCATACAATCTAGAGGTGATTTTCTCTTTTATGTTTATCTTAAAACCTGAATGCCACATGAGAGCTACCTGAGAAGTTGACTTTTTTTAAAATTATAAATTCCTAGACCCCACTGTAAAGATAGGCCCGAGAATCTGGAACCACTGGTGTGAATCACTTATTCTGTATTTATTACATAAATTTGCTTATCTTTTTCATATATCCCCACCTAACCAGTCAGAGCTTAGGGCTAACACTTGAAAATGTTGCTCAATCCTTTGTGTCCCCCAGTGCTGGCACAAAGTGCCATGTGCCTTCCACACAGTAGGTGTTTGGAAAATATATGCTGACTGTATATGTTGACTAATTTGTTGATAATCTGAAGAGACTACCCGAAACTTCTCTATAATTTTGAGAGATTTTAAAAAAAGAAACCTAGCTGATAAAAGTGCTTTAGTCAGTACAAAAGGTCCATTAGAAAACTGTACAGTTTTTAGTTCCCAAACTACAGGTTTGGTTTACAGAAATAACATGTTTGTTATCAGCAAATGTTTGGAATTAAGAGTTAACAGTGGTGGGCTTCCCTGGTGGCGCAGTGGTTGAGAGTCCACCTGCCGATGCAGGGGACACGGGTTCGTGCCCCGGTCCGGGACGAT